TAGTCACAGTTCTAATTCCCTGATTCCAATTCTAATCAAGTACTTTAACCATGAATTTCCAGAACTACACACACACTGACAATACTACAGTAGAATACTTCATAAAACTGCAGTATTCCCAGTAGAGTTTGAGACGAAGCCACATATTGAACCTCATACAAGGGACGTCTACGTAGAGCACCACGACATGGTCTACCTTTCAAATGTCATTAGTGAGCTCATCAATACGGCCCCAGCTGTGATGACATCATCAAAGGAAGATCAAAGGAGCGTGACCCACAGTAACTATTTCAATGGTCTGATGTTTGATTTTATCGTTACAGGTGAAGAAGTGAAGAAATGGAACTAGTTGAGACAACCGGTTAGTAGGTTTATGTAGTGTAGTAATGCGACGTCACCGATGCCAACTAGGTTAGAACCCACAGCCCACGGTGTCTACATACAGCTGTTTTCTGTTCACATCCCATCACTGCAGCCCAACAGTCGCACCACAGCCAGGTGACCACACCAGGAGTCATGTCTCGTCGAAGTTCCCGTCTGCTCTCGTCGGGATATTACTCGGACGAAGGCGAGGACACCAGCGGTCTGGCCAACATCACGTACCGGGAAAACCCCGTCAAGGTCTTCAGGAGGAGGGCGGGGGGTCGGAAACCCCGCTCTCACACCTGCGGCACCGCGGACGCCAAGGCCTCTGCTTCGGGCCACCTCCCACTGCTCACTGCGGGCCAGTCTGTGGGCCTGAGCCCCCCCCCTCTGGCCTACCCCACGGGGGGCAAATGCACAAAAATGACGTTTGGTCTGTCCCTGATCATCACCGTTCTCATCCACCTCTTCCTCTTCCATTCCCTCTTCACCTTGTGCAAGTCGTCCATGTGCATCACCAACAACCCGGCCGTCGGCGCGGTGGAGGTGAAGATGAGGCACCTGTTCTCGGAGATGCAGAGGGAGCAGGCCCAGCTCCACTCTCAGATGATGGACAAGATCGACCAGGAGATCCACAAACATTCACGGCCCGTGGCTGACAACATGGCCGACTTCGCCCTGGAGAGTCAGGGCGCCAAAGTGATCAATTCGAGGACTTCTCAGACATACAACTCGGCGACGCTGTTCGGGATCCCCCTGTGGAACTCCTGCAGAGGCCCGCACACCGTCATCCAGGGGAACTCGGCGCTGGTCCCGGGGAAGTGCTGGCCGTTTGAAGGAGCCCAGGGGAGTCTGGCCGTTTCTCTCTTTCATCCTGTTAAGATAACTCACGTGACACTGGACCACCTGCCGCGGTACAACTCCCCCACCGGCCGAATCGACTCTGCGCCCAGAGACTTTGAAGTGTACGGAATGAAAAGCGACGGCGAGGGGGGAGCGCTGCTGGGCATCTTCACTTACGATGAGAACGGAGAGTCCACGCAGACCTTTAGGCTCCCCTTCCCCACCGACGACGCCTACAAACTGGTGGAGCTGCGAGTCCTCAGTAACTGGGGCCACGTACAGTACACCTGTCTGTACCGCTTCCGTGTGCACGGGAACGTCACCTCCAACCAGGAGCAGATGCAGTGCTGAAGAACGGCCCACAAACAACCATTTAGACCAGGGTTCAGTCTGCACCAGGGTTCAGTCTGTATCAGGGTTCAGTCTGCACCAGGGTTCAGTCTGCACCAGGGTTCAGTCTGTACCAGGGTTCTGTCTGTACCAGGGTTCAGTCTGTACCAGGGTTCAGTCTGTACCAGGGTTCAGGCCGCACCAGGGTTCAGTCTGTACCAGGGTTCTGTCTGTACCAGGGTTCAGTCTGTACCAGGGTTCAGGCCGCACCAGGGTTCAGTCTGTACCAGGGTTCAGTCTGTACCAATATCACAGTGGGCCACCCACAAATTAAAACGGGGATGAAGTCGCGGGACAAAGTTAATATTTAGTGAAACATTGAAGGCCTTCTGTCCAGATCTGTGATGTAGAATTTATTACTATGGAAACAAACTTTAGTTTTGCCTAAAAAAATGAGTCTTGAACGACCAAAGGTTAATGTCATAAAAACAGGAGAAATTAAATTGGAAATAAAACTCACATCAGTGGAAGTTGTGTCTTTTTCTGTCTCTTTATCTGTAGACTTTCCACTTCCTGTTTATTAGAAATATTTTTTTCACAACAACAACAACAACAACAACAACAACAACAAAACCTAAATGTATGTGCACAGCAAATAGACGACCAATACTACAAATACTGGGGGGGGGGGCAACTCTAGTACATTTGATATGACATCCTGGGCCAAATGTAGTTACACTGTGAGCCAGATTTGGCCCCCGGGCCTGAGTTTGACTGACGACACGTCTGTGACTAGTTTTACTAACGTTAACTTCATCAGCACCTGGTCACCGACCACAACTACAGGGCCCAACTAGTACCAGTACTATCGGTACCATTTACAGATTTAGGGTTTAAAGTTGACATGTGAAGAACGAACACACACACACACACACACACACACACACACGGTCGTCCTGCGGAGGAGCAGTCGACCGTGGGGAAGTTCTCCGTTTGTGAAAGAACAAACATCATTTTGAATTCTGCAGATTTCTGTTGTGAAAAACGGCAGAAACAGAATCGTCAGCCACTCTGGTTCTGCTGACGTCGCTTCATCCAATATTTATCTGAGGGTTTTTTTTCAAACGGCAGCAAAAAGAACAGAGAGTGGAATCAACAACAACAACAACAACAACAACAACAACAACACAGTTCAGCGTCAGCCTGACTAAGACAACAGGAAACAGGAAACAGTTCTCTGAGAGGATTCTGTTCATCCACCACTGCTGCTGATGATGATGATGAGGAGGAGGAGGAAGAGGAAGACCCCCCCCCAACATGTCCAGATGATTGGAGGTGAAGTCACATAGAGAATAGCCCTCAGACCTGACACCAAGGTCTGACTGTTCTCCAACCACGACCATCGACACAGAAGAAGAAGAAGAAGAAAGAGAAGGAGAAGAAGAAGAAGAAGAAGAAGCAGAAGAAGAAGAAGAAGAAGAAGCAGAAGAAGAAGAAGAAGAAGAAGGAGGAGAAGAAGAAGAAGAAGAAGGAGGAGAAGAAGAAGAAGAAGAAGAAGAAGAGGAAGAAGAAGAAGAAGAAGAATAAGAAGAAGAAGAAGAAGAAGAAAAAGAAGAACAGAGGCAGACGCCGCCTTTGATCAGTCTGATGAACACGACTGCTTCACAGAGCAGAGACGCCACTGGCTGCTGGCTCCACCACCAGGACCAATTAGCAGTAGCTGTTTGGCTCAAGGACACATTGGCCTGGAGAGGAGAGAGACTGGACTCACTGGAGGTCAACCTTCACCACAGGGGGCGCCAGTCGAGTCTTAATGATATTTAATTCAGAACAATCAGGAGGAGGAGGTTCAGTTGGGATGGCCTGTTACGCAGTAGTTCCTCTTTCCTGGCCTAAAGGTGGTACACAGAGTACACAGAGTACACAGAGTACACAGAGTACACAGAGTACACAGAGTACACAGAGTACCCACTTCCATGAGTTGGTTTTTATAATTGTTTTATTTAAATCTTATTCTCAGTCACTGTGGCCTGGGGTGAGAGAAATAGATGCTGAATAGACTGGGGGCAGCAGCAGCAGCAGCAGCCTCAGCCTCAGCAGCAGCAGCAGCAGCAGCCTCAGCAGCAGCAGCAGCAGCAGCCTCAGCCTCAGCAGCAGCAGCAGCAGCAGCCTCAGCAGCAGCAGCAGCAGCAGCCTCAGCCTCAGCAGCAGCAGCAGCAGCCTCAGCAGCAGCAGCAGCAGCAGCCTCAGCAGCAGCAGCAGCAGCAGCCTCAGCCTCAGCAGCAGCAGCAGCATCTGTTGAGTCCTGTGGATGTCAGTAATTTTCTCCCTGACACAGTGAGAGAACAGGGAGGGAGACCCGGCGGTCTTTAGTTCTTGGAACCGATGGTTCCTGCTGTGGATGGTGAACAGTTTCTAACTGAATGAAAACCTTTTCAAATGTTGTTGATTTTTAGGCAGTGAAAGTTCAGGGTCAGCAGCCCTGAAAATCACACCCATCCAGACCATAATAATCAAGAAAAAAGAAAAGAAATCAGCCGT